GGAGTTATAAAGATGACTGAGCATGGAGAAAGGAATCATGAACTATAAAAGTACTCTGTCCCTCAAGAGTTACCAACAACAGTGATCTATTTATGTATTTAAATATCTCTACAATTAAAAAGTGATGAATAAGATAACTGTCAAATTATATTATTACAATTTGAAAACAGTATGCAAATCATGTTAATAGTGACACATTTTTAGGGCAGACGATAACAAAAGGTGAGCTTTAACTTAAAGCTGGTTAGGTAAACGCAATGTATGGAGCAGGCTGTGGTAATACAACACAAATCAAAGCAACCAAACAAAACAACAACCTAGAAACAAAGGCTATGACTCAAAATGTCTGCACATCCGCGAGGAAACAGGAAGAATATAACAGGGACAAACCATATCTTTACAAGGCCTCGACACACCAAGTAACACAGACGATACATGAGGCGCATTCACACCGCAGTACTTTTCCCACAAAGGTTCATGTGAACTAAGTACAGATCGCGTTCACACTGGAAAAAGTCCCTGGGGGTGGATTAGGCAAATTAAGCCGCTGACGTCACTTGTTCTTCTTCTGCTTTGGGTTTACTGGCAGGCCGCAAACCACTTCACGGCGTATACTGCCGCCCAAAGTCCCCGGCCGGAAGTCCCCGGAGTTCGGGACTGGCTTCAGTAGAAGCTGCTGGGACTCCCAGCAGCTTCTACTGAAGCCTTCCGAGTAAATCGCCAGAACGCCGACACCTCCTCATCTCCACCGCTCCCATGTTTTATTTTGTGTTGCCATAAGTTAGTCTCTCTGCGTTTCTGCGCTGGGCTAATGCTAATGCTAATAATGCTAATGCGAGGATAATAAAATGGCGGCTTCACAAAACTTTTTGGGAGTTTTACGGGGCGTGGTTTGCAATCCGCCCAGCCAATCAGAAATATAGCTCTTTTCTCACAAGAGAGCCGCACGAAAGTCCCTGCTCTCTAGCAGCTCTGCTCTCTAGCAGGGACTTAAGTGGGGGTAAAAAGGTTCACATGAACTAATTTTAGTACCGGCTCTTTTTGGTGTGAACGCGATAAAAGAGTTCACATGAACCTTTGTGGGAAAAGTACCGCAGTGTGAATGCACCTATTCACACCGCAGGACTTTCCCTGGTACTTTGGTTCTTTAGTTCCGTTACGGCCCCTACACACGGCGGCGTGCGTTACCGCTTGGCGGTGGGCGTGTCTGAAGCTTGGGGATTTTTTACGAACAACGCGACCAACAACCAATCACATGAATGTCCCGCCCCGGACATACAAAGCAAAGCATTCATGCTACATCCATGCTGGCTAAATATACTGTCTATGCTTGCTAGCTGTCCATTCAAACGAAGTACACTGGATATAAACTCCCCAAAAAGGCGAAAACCTACCAGTGTCACCCACTGTCTCTGCCACCTCCCCCCATGCCTGGCTCCTCCGGTTTGTATCCCTGTATGTAAAGAGGGACTGGTCATATAGTACCGCCACGATCTTTTTCTCCTCCATTTTTTTTACATATGGGAAATAACTGCGGTCTGGCTCTCCCAACATACACGTGGTTTGATTGGCTAGCGCTTGTAATGTCAGATTTGCATACGCAGGATTTGATTGGCTGACGCCTCCGTCGAGGCGGCAAAAGTAGAACATTGCTCTACTTTTGCAGAGAGCACCACGAGAGAAGCTACGCTTTGCTCCCACAATGCAGTTCGGCGAATCGTGACGTCACCCCATTCAAAGTGAATGGGCAGAAGCGTTGAAGCGGCAACGCACGCCGCCGTGTGTAGGCTCCGTTACGGCCCGTCCACACAGCGGCGTGCGTTGAAGCTTCCAACGCTTCTGCCCATTCACTTTGAATGGGGTGACGTCACTTTTAGCCGAACTGCATTTTGGGAAGCGACGTGGAGCGTTGCTGGCGTAGTTGGCGTCAAAAGTTGAGCAATGTTCAACTTTTGACGCCTCGACGGAGGCGTCAGCCAATGAAATCCCGTGTATGCAAATCTGCCAGTACAATCGCTAGCCAATCAAACCGCGTGTATGCTGGGAGAGACTACGCAGGTCATTTCCTCATATTAAAAAAAATGGAGGGAAAATTCATTATAGCGGTAGTGAATCACCCGGTGCTGTATGATCAGTCTCTTGATCTACCGGGATACAAACCGGAGGAGTGAGGCATGGAGGGAGGTGGCAGAGACAGTGGGTGAAACTGGTAGGTTTTCGCCTGTTTGGGGATTTTATATCCAGTTTACTTCGTTTTAACATTGCTATTGTATGTCGGGGGCGGGAGATTCATGTGATTGGTTGTTGGTCGCGTTGGTCGCAAAAAATCCCCAAGCTTCAGATACGCCCAGCTCCAAGCGTCAACGCATGCTGCTGTGTGGACGCTCTGTTACGGCCCGTCCACACAGCGGCGTGCGTTGAAGCTTCCAACGCTTCTGCCCATTCACTTTGAATGGGGTGACGTCACTTTTAGCCGAACTGCATTTTGGGAAGCGACGTGGATCGTTGCTGGCGTCAAAAGTTGAGCAATGTTCAACTTTTGACGCCTCGACGGAGGCGTCAGCCAATGAAATCCCGTTTATGCAAATCTGCCAGTACAAGCGCTAGCCAATCAAACCGCGTGTATGCTGGGAGAGACTACGCAGGTCATTTCCTCATATTCGCACGCACGCTGCTGTGTGGACGATCCGTTAGTACCTAAAAGAGTTCCCGGCACTGAGTAGTCCCGGCGGTGTGAACGCAACATTATTAGCCGCTTTCACACCGCAGGACTTGCGGTACTTTAGTGCCGGCACTAAAGTACCACAGCACTGAATCCGCCAGGGGGCTAGTGCCATAGCCGCATTCACACCGCAGGACTTTCCCTGAGGCAAGATTACGCTGACGTCACTTCGTCTTCTTCTTCTCTGGGTTTACTGGCAGGCTGCAAAACCACTTCACGGCGAGTACAAAAAAAAACGAGAGAAGAAGAACTACAGGGGGAGGGGGTAATACACACCTTAGTGGCAGTTAGGTGTCAGTATTAAAAAACAGTGGTAATATATATATATAATAACAATAGAAAATCGTTACCACTCTTATTATTGTGGTCTTTAATTTTTTTAATTTGTATAGTCCTGCCTGAGTTTCTTTATTTTTACCCGGCATCCGTGTGCACTGTGCACGATTCCCAGCTCAAGTAGCTTTTGCGAACATCGCTCAAAACATTTGGAGTTGGGAACTGCTTTCTGTAGAAGCTGCTGCATCCCGTCCTCGGAGTAAATTGCCAGAAGCGCCGACACTTCCTCATCATTCCACCGCTCCGGTGTTGTACGTGTAGTCATGCTTTAAAGTACAAACAACCTATTCGCTCAGGTGTGGATGTGGTTTTGTAGCGAGGAAAAAAATGGCTGCCGAACAAAACAAATTCAGAGTCTAACAGGGCGTGGTTTGCAATTCGCCCAGCCAATAGAAATAGAATAGAAATTGGCACTCTTTTATCACCAGGTTAGTACCACCTCTCTAGCAGGGACTAAAAATGGCCAAAATAGTTCCAAAAGAGTTCCCGGCACTGAGTAGTCCCGGCGGTGTGAACGCGACATTATTGGTACTAACGGAACTAAAGAACCAAAGTACCAGGGAAAGTCCTGCGGTGTGAATGCGCCTATTGGTACTAACGGAACTAAAGAACCAAAGTACCAGGGAAAGTCCTGCGGTGTGAATGCGGCTAATAATGTCGCGTTCACACCGCTGGGACTACTAAGTGCCGGGAACTCTTTTGGCAATTGTCAGTCCCTGCTAGAGAGGTGGTACGAACCTGGTGATAAAAGAGTGCCAATTTCTATTCTATTTCTATTGGCTGGGCGAATTGCAAACCACGCCCCGTTAGACTCTGAATTTTCTTTGTTAGGCAGCCATTTTTTTCCTCGCTACAAAACCACATCCACACCTGAGCGAGTAGTTTTTTTGTACTTTAAAGCAGTTATGACCACACGTAGGCCTACTACAACACCGGAGCGGTGGAATGATGAGGAAGTGTCGGCGCTTCTGGCAATTTACTCTGAGGACGGTATGCAGCAGCTTCTACAGAAAGCAGTTCCCAACTCCAAATGTTTTGAGCGATGTTCGGAAAAGCTACTTGAGCTGGGAATCGTGCACAGTGCACACGGATGCCGGGTAAAAATAAAGAAACTCAGGCAGGACTATAACAAAATTAAAGACCACAATAATAAGAGTGGTAACGATTTTCTATTGTTATTATATATATATATTGCCACTGTTTTTTAATACTGACACCTAACTTGCACTAAGGTGTGTCTGCTGCTATATATATTGCCACTGTTACATTGTTTTGAAACTACTTACACTTTATTTTACATTTCACACTTTTATTTAACTTCAATTTACACGCATACGACACACCTGGAACAGCGTGATGCCGTTATTGTTATGTCTTGACTGTGCAATAAAACAAACAAACTGGCGAAGCTTTATTTATGTGTCCCACCCCAAATTTGCCGAATAGAAGAATGTGAGAGCAGACAGGTGTCGGTGGTTGAATTTATCTACAATGTTGCAACCTTGTGCAGCAATGGCAGGGGCAGAAACACAAGTCTTACACACATAAACACAGTAATTTATCATGTCATTTGTTTTAGATAAATAAGGGAAAAACACCAAACAAGGGTTAATATCCTTTTCCAAAATCAGCCTGAGGAGGTTTGATTGATTGATTGAAAAGTTTATTAACAGCTTGTATATTGGGTACAGTACAGTACAGCTCAAAACATACAATTGTTAAGGGGATGCAGACCAGAGAAAGACTTTCGTCTTGTTTACATCAGGGTCCCCCATTTCCAATTCATCAGGTAATATATAATAAATACATACAGATAAAGTACATTGTTATAATGGGGTATTTTATTTGTAAATTACCCTTATGAACTCCATCATGTCTGAGGTCGGAGAGTAAACAAACGCCTCATACAGCGGGTGGGCTTTATACCCCCTCTCGTTTTTTTTTGTACTCGCCGTGAAGTGGTTTTGCGGCCTGCAAGTAAACCCAGAGAAGAAGAAGACGAAGTGACGTCAGCGTAATCTTGCCTCAGGGAAAGTACTGCGGTGTGAATGCGATTGGCACAAGCCCCATGGCGGATTCAGTGCCGCGGTTTGAAAGCGGCTTAGCAGGGACTTTCGTGGGGGTAAAAAGGTTCTCATGAACTAATTTTAGTACCGGCTCTTTTTGGTGTGAACGCGACAAAAGAGTTCTCATGAACTAAGTTCTCATGAACCTTTGTGGGAAAAGTACTGCGGTGTGAATGCGCCTATTTACAGATCAAAACCGGACACACAGGTATTTATACATCCCAACTAGACACAGGCGGATTTAATCAGGGCAGGGCAAACGATAAAATATAATAGGAAAAGTGAAAAATTAACTGAGATAATGATACAT